CCCCCCCCCCCCCCCCCCCCCCCCCGTGAACATAGGGTTGGGCCACAAGCCGGGAAAGCATCCCTTTTGGATGAAGAGGAGATGAACTCTGTAACCTGGACATTTTTGGGTCCTCTTGGTTTTGATCCACCCACAAGAGACAGAAACCCTTTCATGACTGACAGAAAACAACACAGAAATAATGGAATAAAACAGATACGATGCTGATGAGCATCTCCCGCTACAGTGCTTTCTAATAGTCTAATAATGGCCTCCTCACCTTCCCAACTCACACCTCCGTCCAGCCCAGACGCTGCGTAAGAACGATGATAATCTCATTTCACTAATGCTCTGCAGCCTGCGTTAGAACACAGGCCCAGCACTGTCTCAGCTCAGCTCTACCCACCCAGGAAATGAGCGGGTGAGAGACCAGGAGAGAAAGGGTCCACCGGGGGTGAGGGGGGGGGGTCTGTGGATAGAGGGAGCACTCAGAAATGCAGTGTAACCTGAGCTGCTCGGCCCATCTGGAGAAGGCCGAGCATTGACAAGGGCTGTCCCACAAAGCACTTTGCTGCAGAGAAGATCGTTAGAGGGAGTCTGACACAATGGAGGTTTTCTTTTTGAAAGTATTTATTTGCATCACAGATGAGAAACAAAAAAGGCATTTCAGAGATGAGTCAGCAGGTGCGCACAAAAACTAAAAACACGTTGCATTCATGAGACATTGTCATGGCACACATGCACATTTTGCTCTGTAGCATCCGGTGCGTAAAACATATTTTAGATCAACTACATGTATTAACCAAATCTTAACATTTATGCACATCTATTCTAATGGCTGACAGGAAGGGAAAAAAAAAACATAAGAGCCTTTTAAAAATTCTGCTGATATCCACGTAGATCAAGACTAGCTGGTGTGCAGGCAAAGAGTTGACAATACAAATCATATTAGCTAAAGCTGAAGTGTAGGCCATAAAGCAGGATTTATGCAGAGGCAGATAAAGAGGTTTTAATCCACAGATCCCCCTGTCACCTACATTAGCAGACCCTGACCCAGATATACAAAGCTCACAGGAGGAGCATTTTTTATTTTTTCAGCCAAACTGTTGATTCACTGTTAAAGCAAACCAACATCCAAGAAAGACTCCTGTGCTCTCCACTTCCCCCATCTATGTTTGGGAGGGGAAAAAAGGGCTGCATTGAAAGAAAGAGTAAGATGACACCGCAGGGTTTGCCAATTATGCCACGGAGCTAAGAGAGGAGCCCCTGATGGCCGGCTGCTGGCGGAATAGCTGGACATCTGTGCACAGAGTCCACCACAGCATCCCTTGTGCTGCAGAGCTGAAATCACTCGATCCAACTCTGCTTGTCAGAGCTGAAGGTAAGACTGACTGATGAGCAGAGGAATCCATTACCGTCTTATCAGCACAGCGAGCCATCCTTTTTTTCCCATTAACCAGGGATGCAGTGAGTGATTGGCTTCGTCATTTAAAATTGACTCTGATGATTTTTTTTCTCCCCTACAACACATTAGTTATCCTGGTCCACGTCAGGAGAAATTTGATTGTGGTGAAATGCTCCTCTCAGCTTTCCAAAGCTGGGGTTAATGTGTGGGATGCAGCTCCGCCATGAGAAGCTGAAACTGCAGCCACTCATCGCAGAAAATGATTCAACGCACAAAATTCTGTCAAAGACGTGAACCCGAGTACTCCATTTGTGAAAAGGTTTGACGGGAACACGAGTTTGAGGCAGGAGGCTCTTGTGACGTGCCAATTTTACATTGATTTCACTTCAAATTTACCTTTAACTCCTTTTTTTTTTATTATTATTGTGCTTTTTTTAGCCATTATCCATTCTTTACAGTCCGTGAGTCCAACTGATTTCCTAATGTCCCCCCCACCAACATCACTCACACACACACATATGTGCAACTGCCGTAAGACAAAGTGAATTACTAAAGCGTTGGGGATTTTGACGTCATGTGATCCACATTTTAGTTTCAAAGCTTAGAGATCTTATTTCTCCATATGAGTCCCCCTATATTAATTTCTCTATTTTAATTGAAATAATACCTCAAAATCAGGGTTTTCACCCAGTTTATCTGGTCAAGATCATTCCTAAAATGTTATAAATCTGTTTGGTTCACATACGTAACATACAAAGAGTCACTGGAGCTTTGAAGCTAGGGTGTGCAGGAGAGGAAGAGAGTTTCACCCCACCCGTCACCACCATCAGCCACTCACTCACGGACTTAACATGTTCTTACAGCTGGAGCTGAGAGGTCGGTTTTGTTTCCGAGTTACTTTCAGCTGGTGGACGCTCGCAGGCAGTAGTTGGCAAGTCTAGAACCACCGGATCCATCTACCTCACCAGTGTGAGTTCTACCATTGCCAAACACCACCAGAGAGCAGCTGGGCTTCTTCAGGCCCACACGAGCAACAAACACATGAAGGCACAAGAAGAAAGCCCATGGATCTGAATCTGAAACACTCTGCGAGACCAATTCCTTTAATTTTACAGCTCTGTTATGACCGGTAGCTTCCTCACATCCTTTAAGGTGTTTCATTAACATAGAGAAGTGTCATCAAGTAAATGAAAGGAAAAGGGATCAACTGAAATTAAAAATTACATGAAAATGAAGGGACAGGCAGGAGAATTCATTGTTCAGATGTGTGAAAATTGAAATAAGAGTTGCCACAGTGTAAAAATGATTAGAATCCAGGGCTGAGCAAAAGGGATGGTAGTCTGTCTTGTCCTATATTGGCACTACACATAATTGCTCAAAGTATTTATACAGAAGCAAAAATGTGCTAGTGCCAAAATGGGCAAAGAAGAGGACTGGCTCATTGATCCAATGCAAGCAGCTGATGTCAGACATAAGGATGAGGAGATGTTGAAGTACAG